AATACATTCATCCACACTTGATTTTTAAAAAAATACCATTTTATTACTTTCATAGTTTAGAATGTAATTAAATACAAATCAATTATATCTTATTATTATTGTGAATTTAGGTATATCGGATACACTAGAATTAAGTCTTATTCCCTGTTGGACGATAACTCACTCATCATAATTATTACTTGTTCAACGAACCCGTACGCTTGCGGGATTTTTTTTGCGAACAGTTACCACCACGCAAAGTAGCAGTTGTACTCTTATGAATTATCTTCTCTTACATTTTAATGACACATTAAGTAACATGCAATGTTTGTGACTTTCTGTAAGGGGGTTGTTAGGGGTGGCTATTTTGGTACCTCTTTCTTCCGATCTTAACTATTACTCTTCTCCACAAGTCTTTTTCACATCCCAATATCTGATTGCCCAAGGATCCCAAGGATTTCTGAGCGATATTTGACATGCAACACATAGTACTCGAATCACATCACTGACACCAGGGCACATTTTCAGTATCACGAATTCATAATTAGAGAACTTTCCTTTATCAATTCCAGTGGTACTGAGAAGACTGTGGCAGATTTAAAGCTTGTGAACTTTTTAGGGGTTAAATAACATAAGGAGAAAAGAAATGGTCAATGAGTTCCAGTAAAGATCATTATTAGAAATGAAATAAACTTGCATTAGAAAATGAATTTACATGTTAAACACCATTCAAAATTGATAAAATTTGAGGTTATGGTGTTTTTATGCTTGACAATCTCATTTAGTCCTAAAAAAGGCATTGTTTGTGCTTATATGCTTAGGAAACCAAGGGCGGATGACTTTATACTTGCACATGCTTTCTTTAGTGTCTGTCCTCATGATTTAGCTTTTCTGGACATTCGATTTGATATTTAGAAGAAAGACAAGTGGTGAATGAATTTTGTCTAAGTGTTGATTTTAGTATCCATGCCATATATTTCTTGATATTTTTCTCGGTTCATTCTTTAGTCCTGTTCTTGTTTTCAATACTAATATTTGCTCTACTTAATTGGCCTGACTCGCGGTTTATTTGTTTGTCATACTTTGGGGGGTTAGATTACTCAAAGAAACAGCTTGGATGTTGATGATGACCTAGCTTTGGGCTTTGCTTCCCACTATGGTAAAATTGGCACTATGGAATGTCTAGTGGTAGAGGGAAATGCCATGGCTTTCTTGGGGCTTATGATGAGAGCTGTTGAGAGGGGTTGCGTGCCAGTTGTTGAATGGTTCGTTCAAAGGGGTTGCCGGGACATGGAAATATGTCTTGCCCTTACGGCTGCCACCTCCAGCAGTCAAGTAGATATTGCAGAATATCTTCTCCTGCATGTTCCACAGCATGTTCTTTCTGCACTCAACATTGAAATTCTCGAGGGTGCTAGTGAATGGAGTGGCAGATCTCTTGATGGGGTGGTATTTCTCATGCGTTCCGACTTTTTGGGCGATCCTGCCGCTACTACGCAGTTGCTGACAACATTGCTAGATCTGTTGAAGACGCTGTTGCTCCTGACCTCAAGGCCTTTCTTCAAGCGAATTGGTCAGAGGCGGCTTTTTTGGATGGACTGAGACAAGGGGAAGTACATTACTTGAACCTCAAGCACATTGTAAAATGGGGTGAATCTCCCATCTGCTTAAGGGATCTTCCGGGCCCTATGAGGGTAACAATAGCCTACCTCCCACTCTATAGGGAATGCATTAAGACAGGAGGCCGGTTTGTTGAGGATACTCCAGAATCCTCTCCAGACATTCAGCAATCTTCTCCGGATATTCAACAATCCTCTGCATATTTATAGTAGTTGCCTCATAATTTTAATTCATTGTGTGATTTACTTCCTTTTCTATTTTGTTTTCTTTTTTGATGTAAAGCTACACGTGTATGTATTTCTCTATAAATGAAAATACATCTCCACCTCAAGAGGTGTAGTGATTTCACAAAATACTCTCATGGTATCAGAGACATAACTGGATTAACATCCAAATTTTTTTTCGGTCTGTTCTTTCCCTTCATGGCTGCTGAACCTCTCTCTTTTAATACCATGGTTCACATGGTCACCATTAAACTTTCGGCCACAAATTACCTGCTTTGGAATTGCCAACTTGTCCCTCTCCTTGACTGCCAAGATTGTCTTGGTTTTGTCGATGGCTCTTTGCAGAAGCCTGCTGCAACCATTGAAGGTTCTTCCACCGTAAACCCCAAATACCTGGAATGGAAAGCCAAAGACCAGAGAATCCTGAGCCTTCTTCTTTCTTCCCTTTATGAAGAATCTATGGCCGTTGCAGTTGGTCTCACTACCTCGCGTGATGTTTGGCTTGCTCTTGAGTGTCTTCGGTCACGGCTCAAAAACTTGAGAAATACGCCTCAAAGACGAGTTGCAAAACTGATGAAGAAAGAAGCTCGATCTGTTGCCCAGTTTTCTCGAGATTTCAAATCTCTCTGTGATCCGTTGCTGGCTATTGGACATCCCGTGGACGAAATCGACAAATCGCACTGGTTCCTTTGTGGACTTGGCACCAACTTTGTTGGTTTCTCCTCCAAGCAGCTAGCACTCTCCTCGCTGCCCCCTTTCCATTATCTGGTTCCGTTGGCTGAGAGTTATGATCTCTTTCAAAAGTTTTTGGAATCTCACTCTTTATCTTCTGCAGCCACCCGCTTCTCAAATGGGCGTGGAAATCAATCTCGCAATTGTCGCTCTCGCGGTGCTTCCCATGGAAACTCGGGTGGTTCCTCCTCTGGCAACACAATTAGCCATTCAAAAGGCTCTGGTCGCAACCGTCGTCTCTACAACCTGAGATGCCAAATCTGCAAAACCGAGGGTCATACAGCTGATAAGTGCAGGAACCAATATGACCGCTCGGACCCTTCGGCGCAACTTGCTGGGGCCTTCTGAAGTTCTTGCTCACTGACTAATGGTCCCTCCTCTGACTGGTGCCTTGAGACTATTGCCTTGGCTCACATGACACCAGACTCGACATCCCTAGAAAGAAACCAAAGTTTTTACTACTGGATTTAATTGAAAGAATTGATTACAAATAGATTACAAACAATGATTTCCTTATATACACAATGAGCAACAGAATATTCTACCATAACAACCTATAGCCAGCTGGCTTAACTAATATATTCTATCAAGGACAATCAGCCGTGTGGATAGCCAAGAATCATGCTGTGCACTCCACTGAGAATTGGTTATATTGTTGGCCTGTTAGTAGT